TTGAGCTTTTATTTATGAGCACAATTTGTCCTTTCCAGAATGTGCTAACCTCCAGAATGTACTTCTTTCTTCCCGACTTCATGCTTCCAGTTGCAAGTGTTTGCAACATGGGTCTTATTGTATTCAGCAATGAAGAGAAAACTAAAGGAAAAGTTAGGGTTATCACACTTTGTTTTCTTGGATGATTTCTACTTTAGGCTAGTTTTGATATAAGGAGTGGACTTACCATGAGGTTAAATGAAGTCAAACCTTCAGAGCCCCGCTATTGCACAGGTCCCTTCCAAGTCCCCATAACTAACAAATTCTACAACTTTGGCACCCATAAACCCATTCTGGCTTTGTCTGATATTAAAAAATAAATTAAGAAAAAGATGTTCATAATCATAATGGCCAGAGTACTTTTCTTTCATTTTTATCAGTAGAAACAATTTTAGATATGATGGCATAATGATGATTACCTTTTAGAATGGTATGTACACTATACCACATTACTCCAGTAATTTGACATAAAAAACAAGTTTCAAAGTGTCAGAAAAGAAACTAATGTGTCTGTGCCTGTCTGAATGTCAGTCTCCATAGCATTGCATTTACATCAATACTCCACTTGGTTAAACACCTGAGATATGCTATAGTAGATTATTTTACTTGTTAATTATTCATATAGTTCTTTTCATAAATGAAATACTGTCAGTTCCAGGACAGCTGTAACCTTTATAATGTTTAAGAGCTCAGGCTGAACAGTCACATAAACCCAGGTTTACATGTCCCGGTTCCACTCCTTACTGGCTGGGTGACCTTAAGTTCCTCATCTCTAAAGTGGGCATAATTCTAGTATCTATCTCTTGGGATTGTTGTAACAATTGAATGAGAGACCATGTGTATCATGGTTAGCAAAGAGTAAGCACTCCAATATTAGCTATTATCATTTATTGGTAATAAACTCTTTTTAACTGGAAGAAAGATCTTTTCTAAAGTTTACCAAGAAGACTAAATTAGCCTCTGGAAATAGCAGTTGTAAATTATTCCATGCATGGCTAGTATTTTCTCCCTGGAGAAACAGTTAAGAAAGTAAGTTTGAAGGGCCGGCCCGTGGCTCACTCGGTAGAGTGCGGTGCTGATAACACCAAGGCCACGGGTTCGGATCCTATATGGGGATGGCCGGTTTGCTCACTGGCTGAGCATGGTGTTGACAACACCAAGCCAAGGGTTGAGATCCCCTTACTGGTCATCTTAAAAAAAAAAAAAAAAAAAAAAAAAAAAGAAAGAAAGTAAGTTTGAGAATAATGCAGAAATTTTTAGAACTGTCCAGAGAGAGAAAAAAGGCTTATTCCTTTTTGTTTCAGAGGCAGAATTAGTAGCAACGAATGCAATTTCCAAGGAAGTACGTTTACATTCTGTATGGAATGATTTTCAATCCCATTTCTCTAGCACAGAATTGGCTAGCTTGCAAGCTCTCAAGAATTATTCATACAAAGGCTTGAAAAAACATCAGGTAGGGGACGTTAGAACACTCCCTCTTCGTTAGCCAATGATACCTTGTAAATCTACGTTTTATCACTTATGTAAAACTTTAACTTCTCAGTTGATGATTAATGTATTCAAGTTCTTGTTATATTATTGTAAATTGGGCTTAACTTTGCCAATCAAAGGGTCATTTTTCACATGGCTTTCTGTCCCTGTATAGGCTTTTGTTCATATTGCAGCGATTGAGTGTATACATTCTCCTTAGTTAATTCCTTTTAAATAGAAATAGACTGAAAAAAGTTTTGGTAAGTATGTTGATTTCATTGCATTTTTGGTACATTTCAGATGTAATTTTACATTGCTAAATAGGATCCTAAATAAAAATATGAAAACCAGTTAATAAACTCTTTGCTACTATTAGCACTGAACTTAAGAATTTTTTTTTCATTATTTTTGAACATGGCTGTCAAATTGTTAGAGGCTGCAGTGCTATCTTCAGTCTATATTTATCAGCTTATTTGGGTACATAACTTACAGCTTCCTTTTTCCTTCCTGTGTCATCTAGTATACCCCATTGAAAGGAAATGAATGAAATGAATGTTTAAACTGTCTTCATGTTGTTAATTACTTTGTAAGATGTTTCATAACAGGAAAATGTTTGGCATGCTCTCAATAGCTTGGAATATTAACATCTTCAAGGATGTGAGGTTTTCAGTGTTTGTTTAAAATGGTCACAGAAGGTAGTGAAAGTGTGTGTGCGTGCGTGTGTGTGTATGTTTGTGTTTATGTTTCCCCCATAAAATGTGTCTCTATGCAAAAGGGTGATATGGTATAAGAGATGGACCGTAGTTAAATATTTGTAGGGTTTAAGGTGTGAAATAAGAACAGCCTTTTAAGGGACCATATTGGTAATAGGTTTGCATCCCCGATGGTATAGGAAAATTCTGAAAACTGTATCTCAGGCTATGCACACCAGGGCACAATCCTATCAGCTATCTGCCTGTGCCAGGGGATACCTGCAGACCAGTAGCAACAGGCTTATTTGGAGAAAAGACGGCGCCCAGACGATTTGCATGTACTTGAAAGTTAAATTAGTAGGATTCAAATTTTCTGTATGGAGCTGTGCCCATCAGTTTGTATCACATTTTATTTTCTGCCTTACAGAAGTTAAAAGCATGGTTATTGTGAACCCAAGTATTATTTTAAACCTGTCAAATAGTTACATTTCAACCTGCACATTTTGATTTATTTGTTATTAAACAAGAGAAGAGAGTATAATTAGGCAAAAAATTAACTTAATCAGTGTTTTGGTCACAACTGGACAAAAGCTCTCTTTATCATGAATTGTTTCATGAGAGCTGACACTGGCCATGGCTGTCAGTGGGGTGCATGACATGGACAGACCAAAGACAGCAAAGGTTGGAGAAAAATAGAAGAGAAATAAAGGGAGAAGATGAAAAGGGAAGTAAGGGAAAGGGTGGGATGGAGTGAGGAGGAGAACAGGGAAGAAAGGAGTTTCCAAAAGATAGAGTATAAGGACTACTATAATAATTAGAGAAAGTAGTAATTCCCATAGTTTTGCATTTTAGAGTAGCTACATAAAGTGTGTGGGGGGGTAGTGAATGTGGGGGGCATTAACCACCATTTTTCCATGTAGGACATTAAAAAGCAAAACTCATACACTCTAATTTACTTACCTTTTGCCTCTCTTTTCCTGTCTTTATCATTTTGTCTGAACTGGTGAACATTTCATCATAGGTTAGCGCTGGTATGTCTGTGGGAACCACTTGTTTAACATTATCAATTTTTTAATATAAAAATTTAGCAGATTTTTAAAGGATGCAATAGTTTATCCAATTCTTTATCCATTCAACATTCACTGAAGGCCCAGTATGTGAAAGGAATTAAGTTAGATGCAGAGGGAAGGCAAAGGGAATAGAGTGGAACAGTGGTGTCTGGCAGATGAGATGCAAAGACCTATGCGGGTAAGGTGGCAGGAATGCCAGTGGTCTACTCAAAAGGTAGCAGTGCAGAGCCAGGGAAGCTTTTTAAGGAAGGAGAGACATCATTAAGGCTGGGCTGGGGTGTGATAATAAGGTGCAAAGTAATTTAGAGGAGGCGGTAAGGAGAGGATCTAGAAAAAGGACTATTGTTAGACTGGAGCTAAGACCTAATTATAGGGCTCAGAGGTGGTTGAGGCAATGGGGATAGAAAAGAGCCAGCAGGTAGAGCCCTATGGAGGTGGAACTAGAAAGGTTGAGCAACTCATTTTGGAGGGGGAGGGAAGAAGGTATAATAAGCTCCTTTTTTAGGAAGACTTTTTAAAAATGAGAGTTCATTGTTGATATAAAAGAGAAGGATTTTTAAGTAAAATTTACATACTTTTAGAGCATGTAAGTATGAATGAATTACTTATTTCTCATTATTTTAAATAATGAAACAAGTATATGTTTATGGACTGATGAAATTGAAAGCTTGTTTATGAGGAATTTTAGATAGGTAGACCAAATAGATCATAAAGATCAAGAAAAAAACTTCAATTTAGACTGCTGGGTATATAGAAGAGAGCAGGATTTTTTGGAGAACAGAAACATCTCTTCTACTTTTGATAACCTTTGAGCTTGTTTCTTCATCTACCAAGGAACAGCATGCTGGTGAAAAAGAATGAAATTTAGCCTAGAATTCTGTTCAGATCCAGCGTATGGCAGTTATCTTAGTCGAGTTGCTTAACCTGTCCCTCGGCCTTACTTTCCTCATACTGTGTAAAATGTAGGTGATAATGTACCTGTTTTGTGGGGGGGGGAGGGGGAGAGAGAGAGAGAATTGAGTGAGACAATACTTGGCACAGAGCCTGGCATGTGATAGGTACCAGGAATCAGCAGGTACTTCTTTTATTCTCATCGATGACATTTATCAGAGAGTTGGTAGATGTGTCTCTTCTTGGTCCTGAAGAGTTTTGATGAAACAAGAGGTATATTTGGCATTGGCTTTTGTGTGAAAGAAGATGGCATTCCAGGACACACAGTAATTTTTATGAGGGCATTTCTAACCGGGCACCAGTGGTAAAGCCCTTCCCGTCGGCTGTGCTGTAGTTTTGCTGCAGGTTCATTGGTTTTTGCTGTGGTTATTTTAACTCCGAATGTGAAGGGGTTAAGAAATGCCCTTACTCGTGTTACACGAAGTAGCAGAAATTATCAGATAGAAACAGGAATTGGGAAGGCCAAAAAAAAAGGGGGGGAGGGGCGGGGGGCTCTGCAGTAACTCATTGTTTCTTGACCAAAAGGGCTTGTATTTACATGGACGAGCCGAGCATACAATCTGTTGGTTTAATCAGATCAGGATAACTCGGGCGTTGAGGGCAACCAGTACTCCCCTTCCCCACGTCCTTTAACTACAGCCACTGACACTGGAGTCGCCCCGGCTTGTCACAGGACTGAGTCACAGCTTCTGACTGGAGAGCCAGAAAGCCCTTCGGTGGAGAGACCCCGCCCCTCCCGGTGTGGAGCGCCGGCCTCGGGGAGGAGCTGCCGATGCTAATGAGCGGAGTTGCCAGGCGAGACAGGAACTTCATTCTTCTTCTCTGTGTCAGGATCGCAGAAATTATGCCCCTTCTCGCACCATGAGCTGGCTCTCCAGTTCCCAGGGAGTTGTGCTAACTGCCTACCACCCCAGCGGCGCGGACCAGGCCGTGGGGGACAGCCACGCAAAGGGAGGTGAGGAAGCCACCTCGAGGTAAGCCCCAGGCATTGGAGAGCTGCAAAACAAAACGAAAAACATCTCACCTGCTCCAGGAAAAAAGTGACAGGGAAGTTGGTGTGGGGAGAAAGCAATTACATGTGCACGTTAACCTGACCTCCAGACACAGCAAAAATGTTTGGGTGGGTTTTATGTACTTTTTGAGCTCATCCAGTCCAAGTCAGAAATAGCCCCTATGATTAGTGGTGAAGATGGACAAGCAGGACCTGGGGATATGGCTCTGTGGCTATCAGTCTAGCTGCTTAGCAGGTGCATTTGCAAAGGCTGAAAGATCAAATGACTATGCTGCGTTTGAAACACTTCCTATGAGATGGAATTTTTGAATGGTTTCAAGGCACAGCCGCTGGAACTATTAGTGGGAAAGTCTGCCAAAAAGCAGGGAGGCTGTTCACTGTACAAGCTGTTGTCAGAGTGTTTTTTTTTCCCCCTCTCCTTGCTGAAAGCAAATCTCTTAGGCAAAAAGCCCAAGACACTGGCCTGTGGCAGTATGTTTCACATTCTTTTGTGTATGTGGATTTTGGAGGGGAGGGGAGCGGCTTTCAAAAAGGAGTTTTTGTCAGGAGATAGTACTCTGCTGCTGGAGTGAAATGTGGTTAATGTTAGATCACTTTATAGGCAGAGAGAGCAAATGTTCTATAGACCACTGAGGTGCAAAGAGTGCCTTTCTCCCTATCTGTGTACTTTGGTCTGTTTTCCAAGAGCTTTTCTTTTTTCCCCTTTCTCCCCTTAATGACCTTCTCACTGGCTGAATATTTTTACTTCCAGTCTTAGATATAAATTGTAAATACTGGCTTAGAAGATTGCAAAAAGCCAATACTAACCTAATAACCTAGGACACTAAATTAGTTATCAGTAAGCACATTTCCTTCTTGATGCTTAATGTGATAATAAAACCTTCTTTGTTCTTATGTGACTTATGCCTATGCCTTAAGCTGGAATAATGCCTTCTTTCATTTGTTTTAAAATCCACGAATATGAGGGAGGGAGAAAAAAAAATCAAAGGAATGGCTGTAATACTCTGTGTTGGACTTCCAGGCCAACCAGAACTTTTTTCTCACATAGCATCCACCACACTATGTATTCCGTTGAATGAATTCATCTCCAGAGATAAAAAGGGAACTGTTGCTTGTGTTATAGATGTGTTACCATTTTATTTTCTGTCATTTTAAGTATTTTCTGTAAGAGATCATAAAGTGTTTTCAGCTGTTTTTCTATAAAACAGTAATGTATTAGTAATCTTTCAGTCATATTTCAGCAGTCAGCAGCCTGCAACCCTAACCTCATACAGGCTCTAACTTGGATACCACATGGCTGTCAAAATTGCCAGAGTTGTACCAGCTCAACACATTTTCCGATGACTTTAGGCTGGGGTGGCTGAGGTTGTGACCTGAATGTTGGATCTTGATTGTGAAAGTGGACAGAACCTTATGGACCTGAGTCCAAACCTGTCATTTTCACCTCGAGGACTCAAGCCCCCAGAGATTAGTTAGGTTGTTGCAAGGTCTGTAGTTCTAGGCCTTTGCCCTGAACTGCATATCCAGTTCTGGAGACTCCTTAACCTGTGTTTGCAGTTTTGCAGCTTTTCAGCTTGTTGTGGGTGGCCTACACTTGAGTGCACTGAAAGAACATAAGAGAGGAACAGATCATTCTCTCCCTATGCTGAAGCAGAACCAAGAGGCATTCAGGTGGCAGAGTGGGCAGTTGCTTATACAGTGAGTGCTTTCCATGCGGCTGCAGCTCAAGGTCTGCTCCCAAATGCCTCTCCTGCTGGGTGCCATGTTGCTTGACCATACTGGCTCCAAATTCCCACTATTGAATTACAATCTTAGGGATAGTTAGTATATTGGCTGAAGAAGATGGGAGCCTGGTTTGAGGGCTAGGAGGAAAAGCAGGAAGGAGGGTGGAGAGACAGTTGTCATTAGTGTTTACCCTTAAGCGTGGAATAATTTATCAGATAAACTTATTGTTACTTTGGGAGGCTCCCTGTTTAGCCTGGGAGGGTTAAGATACTGGAATTGGCATGGGGGTGGGGATGGACTGAAAGAGGAGGGATTTGAGGGTGTGATGGCATCTATAGTGACCACCTAAGGATGGTGATGCTGGTGGTGTGTTTCACAGGATTTTGGCATTGGCTGGGTTGGCCAGCTGGTGTTTTAAGCATTGGGAAGCCGTTCCAAGGTGCAAGGTTGATGCTTATTTTAAAAAGTTTTCTAAAAAGTAAAAACAAACAAAAGTCTTAAAAGAGGCTAAATTAAAGACTTAGCATCCCCTCCTTCCCATTTAAAAGGGAGTTGTAGGAGGGAGCTACAAAGGAAGGCTAAATTTGCTTATCACAAGATTTTGTCCTTTTTAAATAATATGTACAGGGTACCTCAAAAATTTCATGAAAAGATTTGTATTATCTTTTCAGTCTATTTTCCCATGATCTTTTTGAACTCATGTATATATAATGCCATTTAAAAACTGTAAAGGGCTCTCTCTCTCTCTCTCTCTCTCTCTCTCTCTCTCTGTATATATATATGTATATCATATATATATATGATTCAGGATACATATAGAAAGTGTTTGATTTTTAGCCTTGCCTTATCAAATTCTTTTTTATTGTTGTTTTGGTCTTTTGTAAAACTGGGATAGTAGGGAATTAATATTTTTGCAAGTAATCTGTTAGTCTAAAATTCCCTCCATTCCATTATCCGTCTTTATCAGAATACATTCATTGGATGCCAGATTAGGGAATGCCTCCCACGCCTGTTTAGAGCCTCTCAAGTATTTGTAGAATCCTGTTTTCATTTTTGTTTGTTTGTTTGTTTTTTGTAATGTTTTCTCCTCAAAACATTAGGATTTGAAGAAATATGTGAACATGAGTTATTTTAGCTGACTTGTACATAGTCAAATGTTTCCAAAGGAAACCACTTTTTATGAGTAGCTATATTTATCAGACTTTATTTACCTGTTTTCCAAGCAGACTTCTTAATATTTACTTTTGAAAAGCAGTTTTTCAAAGAATACTGCATTTTGCTAATTCTTACTGTTCTCTCTTGACTTTCCCGTCATTTTAAGAAAAACTATTTTGATTGTGTTGTATCGTTCTTTGCTAGTATTTTAATATTAATGGGAAGTGATAGTTTCTTTCTTTTTGGACCTTTTAACTCATTAATTTACCTAAATACACTGAAGAAGGAGATATTTTTATGTCTCCTATGAATAAATGGGTGGCATTTATCATGTAAGGCCTTGGCGATCCCATTTGCCGTTGGTATTGGGTAGGCAGAACCAAGGGGCACTACATTGTGGTGACATAAACCCTGAAACCCTGGGTTCTGGGACCAACCTGCCTGGGTTCACATCCTGACTCTCCCACTCATTAGGAGTGTGGCTTTGGAGGAGTTATTTAACTCTCTACTTGTAAACCAAACTTCATACTAGTACTTACCTCACTGGGATAATTAAATGGGATGATCCATATAAAACCCCATAGAATAGTGCCTGGTTCATAGCTAGCTGCTACTTTCCTTAATGCTAGGTTATAAGAAAAAAAAAAAGGAAGGAAATTATTGAGCTTTGCAGTATATAGAATATTCCTCCTCATTTCAAAAGCATTTTTATGAATATAATTTTGTCATGTGTTAAGCCTATAGATCATGCCCCAGTTTCTTATCTAAGAATGACCTATTTGAAAATGAACATAATGTAAAAAGTTTAGGCTTTGAAGTTTGCAAGGCCTTGGAAATGTCATCTTGATCCATGGCAAGATTTACAGTTTGAACTAGAAACAACCACCCATTGCAAGTCTACCTTGGGGCATTGATAGGCATTGAGGTCTGCAAATGGCTGACTTTTATGGTAAAATGGAATGTGGGTGGAACCTTTTTTGGCAGCCTTCATGCTTCTCTCCTCCACTTTAAGGCATGCCAAATGGAAGAAGGCTGTCATCTTCAGGTGCTTAACTCAGTTCTAGACTTGTTCAGGTCTCACCCCTTCCTTGGTTCTTTAAGCATAACCCTTCAGTCGCTCATTCATTCCACGTATAATCACTCATATCAGGCAGTTGTCCAGGTGCTGGGGCTATTATGGGGAACAAAACAGACAAACTCCTGTGCATGGTGGAGGGGGCCTAGAGTAAAGACCTGAACAGGTGAAGGGGGCAAGCCCCACAGATATTTGGGGGGTAGATTTAGGGAAAGAGCTTTTCAGATAGAAAGGGTAGGGAGTATAGAATTTATAAGCCTTGAGTAAGCCTGAGACCAAGTACCCAGAGAAGCAAATTAGCCTGCTTAGCTGGAGGAGAGTAGGGGGATTGGGGAGAAGAAATCTAGATGGGAGCTGATAGCCTTGTAGAGCATTTGAAGACTTTGGTTTTTGCTCAAAGTAAGATGGGAAGCCATTGAGGGTGAAGGGCTTTGAGCACCAGAGGAACAGAGCAGATTTCAGTTTTAAAAGGTCCCTCTGGCTGCTGTGTTGATCATAGACTGCAGAAAGTGGCACTACTCAAGAGGTTAGGGTGATGGTGGCTTAGGCCAAGGTTTTCGTCATTTTGGTAGTGGAGGGGGTAAGCAGTGAAATCTTTTTTTTTTTTTTTTTTTGTCTTTTTTTTTGTCTTTTTCCGTGTCCGGCAACGGATCGCAACCCTCAGTGTTGCCCCCGTACCGGACCGGGGACCGGCAACGGGATTGCATACCTCGGTGTTGCTCCCGCGCCTCGCCCAGCCAGTGAGCGGGAACCGGTCTGCATGTGGGATCCGAACCCTCGGGTGGGAGCGCCGCCGCGCTTCCCAAGCAGCGCACCAATCCAGTGCGCCACTGGGCCGGCCCAGCAGTGAAATCTTTTGAAGGTAGAGCCTATAGGATTTTCTGATGGATGTGGTATATGAGCAATGAGAATAGCTAAAGATTGTTGCAAGATTTTTGGCCTAAAAACGTATAAGGATAGAGTTGCCATTAATCTAGTTAGAGAAGATTCCAGATGTGTACTAAGTG